GGCTTTCCTTGTTTAAAGACCAACAATTGATACAACTGAAAGTGCAATCACAAAGTGTTGAAACAGAAAGCATGGAGCACTGGAAATAGTTTCTGATCAGCAGTATAGGCCAAGAGGTGATCAGGAATACAGGAGTGACATAGTGGCTATCTGCTCACATGAGGATTCAAGGCGCACCTCATATGAAACCATGACACCATCAACCAGAAACATCAGTTCCCCCAGTCAAAGGAGGACTCAGCCATGACTCTTTCCTCTTTATTTAACTGATTTACACTGCAAACAAACCAAGTTTGAAATAAGTTCTAATTTTTCATAAAATGTTGGAAAAGTTTTGAAGTTGGACCATTTTGACAATCTGACAATTTTAAATTTACTGAAAACGGGGAACTTGGAATGGCCTATGAGAAAAGAGGTAGCTAACCTAAATCTTGGTTTATTCTTCTTCTGAGCTAGATGGTTAAGGAAAAATGGAAAAGGGAGCTTGTAATAAATTTCCTGTATTTTTAATTATCGGCAGTTACTCAACCGCAAAAACTGGAAAGAAATATTCCCTGTTTTATTATCCTAAGAGGCTGGGCTTTTAAAATAATGGCCTATTTGCACAGTTTGACTTGGATAGATAACATTTCCATGGTTTTCCCTCTCTTCATCAAAATATGTCAGGCTATATTAAGATGAAAAGTTAGTCCAACACATTATGGGTGTGTTGACATGTCTTTAAAAAGAAGTTACTTTACAGAGTCTTCTCTTATAATAAACAACTAATTAAACTGAATTGATTCCTTCTATTGGGGGAAGCATCTAAACTAAATAATAGGAAAGTGCTTAATTCACACATGTGGACCATCATTCGAGGTTTGTCTCTCTTTTTCTCTCTCTGTCACACACACACGCACACAGACACACACACACAAACACACACACAAGCTAGGGATAACTAAAAAACTAGATGTGACTTTTCTTTCAGCCTTCTTAGGAGAGAAACAAACCACAGTTTCGGAAATGCTGATTATATTGCACAAGCCAAACTTCTGCACAACTTCTGTGCCTGATAGAAAGAGTCAAGCAGGAGCTAGCAACAAAATAGTTTCATTTTTGTGAATACAACCTGTGTGACCTCACATTCTTGGAAGAGAAGGTTGTTTCTTTTCCCAGCAAGGTGCAAAACATCCTCCCTTTAGAGGAGTTTTGGATTGACTTCAGTGGACTTAATCCAACGCAATGTGTAAGTTGTACTAGCACAAGTAGTTAATAGTGTAGGAAAAACAAAGCTTTATTTCATCTTACTCCAGGCCATATAAGCAGTTCTTGACCAGAATTTCTGTTGCTAAACAAGGCAACTGTTGTAATTTTGGTCATGTGACTGTGAGGATGCTGCAACAGCCTTACATAAGTCATTGTAACTTCAAATGGTCACTGAGTGAATGATTGTTAAGAACTACTTGTACTAATGACTGTAATTAGCACTGGTAAGAACAGAGGGGAGGGGATTTGAGGTGAAAGTAGATATTCTGACAAAATTCATCATGTATCCAAGATAAAGCAAGTGAGAGAGAACTTCAGTGGTGGGACATCTGTTCTGCATGAATAAGATTCATGAATGGTTATGAAAAGATTTCTGCCTAAAACTCTGAGCTGTTCTCAAGCGGTGAAAGCAGCTTTTTATATTCTCTGCAGAAAGCATCCACTAGTTCATGGGGACAGACTCTTGTTAGTCATATATAGAGTCACATTGAAAGTGCTTAGACTGATGCAGCAGACGAAAGCGTCAAAACTTTTGTTAGTCTCCACTTACATATCTTCAATTTCAATTAAAGTTGTTTTGTGCCATATTTTTTTTTAAAAAGATTCATCTCAATGTCTGCAACCTTGTGTCTATTTACTTGTATGTAGGCTTATTGACCCCTTTATGGATTACTGCCTTGCCGTGGCGAAGGGGCTTGCGTAACTCAATGAAGCTATAAACTATGCCATGCAGGGCCACCCAAGACAGACAGGTTATAGCAGAGAGTTCTGACAAAATGTGATCCACTGGAGAAGGAAATGGCAAACCACTCCAGTATCTTTGCCATGAAAACCCCATGGACAGTACTAAAAGGCAAAAAGATATGACGCTGGAAGATGAGCCCCTCAGGTTGGAAGGTGTCCAGTATGCTACTGGGGAAAAGCAGAGGGCTAGTACTAATAGCGCCAGAAAGAATGAAGCGACTGGGCCAAAGCCGAAAGGACGCTCAGCTGTGGATATATCTGGTGGTGAAAGGAAAGTCCGATGCTGTAAAGATTTTTTCTCCATAGGAACCTGGAATGTAAGATCCATGAATCAAGGCAAGCTAGACGTAGTCAAAAAAGATATGACAAGAATGAACATCGACATCTTAGGAATCAGCGAACTAAAATGGACAGGAATGGGTGAATTTAACTCAGATGACCATCAGGTATACTACTGTGGGCAAGAATCCCTCAGAAGAAATGGAGTAGCCTTCATAGTCAATAAAAGACTAGGAAAAGCAATACTGGGATACAATCCCCAAAATGACAGAATGATCTCAATTCAAATCCAAGGCAAACCTTTCAATATCACAATAGTCCAAATCTATGCCCCTACCACTGGTGCTGAAGAGGATGAAATTGACCGGTTCTATGAAGCCCTACAGCACCTTATAGAATTAACACCAAAAAATGATGTCCTTATCATCATGTGGGATTGGAATGCTAAGGTAGGAAGCCAGAAGATAACCGGAATAACAGGCAAGTTTGGCCTTGGAGTACAAAATGAAGCAGGGCACAGGCTAATAGAATTTTGTCAAGAGAATACGATGGTCATAACAAACACTCTTTTCCAACAACCCAAGAGACGGCTCTACACATGGACATCACCAGATGGTCAACATAGAAATCAGATTGACTATGTACTCTGCAGCCAAAGATGGAGAAGCTCTATTCAGTCAGTAAAAACAAGACCAGGAGCTGACTGTGGCTCAGATCATGAGCTTCTCGTTGCAAAATTTAGGCTTAAATTGAAAAAAGTAGGGAAAAGCACTAGGCCACTCAGGTATGAACTAAATCATATTCCTGATGAATATACCGTAGAGGTGACAAATAGATTTAAGGAATTAGATCTGATAGACAGAGTGCCTGAAGAACTATGGATGGAAGTTCGCAACATTGTACAAGAGGTAGCAACTAAAACCATCCCAAAGAAAAAGAAATGCAAGAAAGCACAATGGCTGTCTCAGGAAGCTTTGCAAATAGCTGAGGAAAGAAGGGAAGCGAAAGGCAAAGGAGAAAGAGAAAGATACACCCAATTGAATGCAGAATTCCAGAGAGTAACTAGAAGAGATAAGAATGCCTTCTTAAATGAACAGTGCAAAGAAATAGAAGAAAACAACAGAACAGGGAGGACCAGAGATCTCTTCAAGAAAATTGGAGATATGAAGGGAACGTTTCATGCAAAGATGGGCATTATAAAGGACCAAAATGGCAGAGACCTAACAGAGGCAGAAGAGATTAAGAAGAGATGGCAAAACTACACAGAAGAACTATACAAGAATGAGCTTAACATCCCAGATAACCACAATGAGATGGTCACTGACCTCGAACCAGACATCCTAGAATGTGAATTGAAATGGGCCTTAGAAAATCTGAGCAACAACAAAGCTAGTGGAGGTGACAGTATTCCAGCTGAGCTATTCAAAATCTTAAAAGATGATGCAGTAAAAGTGCTACACTCAATTTGCCAGCAAATTTGGAAAACTCAACATGGCCACAGGATTGGAAAAGGTCAGTTTACATTCCAATTCCAAAGAAAGGCAATGCCAAAGAATGTTCAAACTATCGCACCATGGCACTCATTTCACATGCTAGTAAAGTTATGCTTAAAATCCTACAAGCTAGACTCCAGCAGTATGTGGATCGAGAACTACCAGAAGTACAGGCAGGATTTCGAAGAGGCAGAGGAACTAGAGATCAAATTGCCAACATACGCTGGATCATGGAGAAAGCTAGGGAGTTCCAGAAAAACATCTACTTCTGCTTCATTGACTATGCAAAAGCCTTTGAGTGTGTGGATCACAACAAATTGTGGCAAGTTCTTAAAGAGATGGGAGTACCAGACCATCTCATTTGTCTCTTGAGAAACCTATATGGGGGTCAAGAAGCAACAGTGAGAACCGAACACGGAACCACTGATTGGTTCAAAATTGGAAAAGGAGTCCGACAAGGCTGTATACTGTCGCCCTGCCTATTTAACTTATATGCAGAGCACATCATGAGAAAGGCAGGGCTAGAGGAATCAAAAGTTGGAATTAAGATTGCCGGGAGAAACATCAACAACCTAAGATATGCAGATGATACCACTCTAATGGCAGAAAGTGAAGAGGAACTAAAGAGCCTCTTGATGCGGGTGAAGAAGGAGAGTGCAAAAGTTGGCTTGAAACTGAACATTAAGAAAACCAAAATCATGGCATCCGGCCCTCTCAATTCCTGGCAAATAGATGGGGAAGAAATGGAGGTAGTGACAGATTTTATTTTTCTGGGCTCCAAGATCATCTCAGATGGGGACTGCAGCCAAGAAATTAAAAGACGCTTGCTCCTAGGGAGGAAAGCTATGGCAAATCTAGACAGCATACTAAAAAGCAGAGACATCACCCTGCCAACAAAAGTGTGTATAGTCCAGGCCATGGTTTTCCCAGTTGCAATGTATGGCTGTGAAAGTTTGACCATAAGAAAGGCTGAGCGCAAAAGAATTGAGGCCTTTGAACTATGGTGCTGGAGAAGACTCCTGTGAGTCCCTTGGACTGCAAGGCGTTCAAACCGGTCAGTCCTAGAAGAGATCAACCCCGACTGCTCTTTAGAAGGCCAGATCCTGAAGTTGAAACTCAAGTACTTTGGCCACCTAATGAGAAGGAAGGACTCACTGGAGAAGAGCCTAATGCTGGGAAATATTGAGGGCAATAGAAGAAGGGGACGACAGAGAATGAGATGGCTGGATGGAGTCACTGAAGCAGTAGGTGTGAATTTAAATGGACTCCAGAAGATGGTAGAGGACAGGAAGACCTGGAGGAATGTTGTCCATGGGGTCGCGATGGGTCGGACACGACTTCGCAATTAACAACAACAACAGGCTTATTGAAGCAAAGGAACTTTAGCACCTATAACTATGGCCTACTTGAAACCAAAGGCTGTGATTTACCAATCAGCCTTTATATATGATAGCTTCATACAAGTCCTCCTGGAAACAGATTGAGGCCCACTGTGGCCTTGACACTCTCATAGTCGGTGGAAGAGATACTTGAAGTTTTCACCTTGGAACTGTGATGCATTTCTCATAAACCCCAAAGCATTCTTATAGAGGCATGTGGAAAATATTTGAACACATCAGGCACTTAACTTGAATCATTCTTCAGCAAACTTAGCATGTGGTGTGTCACCAGAATATTAGTGCACTTAATTCAGGAAGAGTAGTTCGTTCCCCCATTGCAGAAAATTTCCAAGAGAATCACTTACAGCTAGAGTGTTCTTCACTTTCCTTCCACTCAGTTTAGTTCCTTCCCATGGAGCTGGTTTGATCTTCTAAGACAAGGGGAGACATGTAGAAAAACACAATGCTGCTGGAATGGAATTGCCAAAGCAGAGTTGTCTAGCGCTGATTGCAGAATAACTCTGATACACATTATACCCAGAAATATTTTCTAGGCATGATTTTAAACAACTTAAATTCCTTTGCTTTGCTGATCTTATCAGTTTCTGTGGAACCCCCTTTGACGCCCTATAGATACTTTGAGTGGATAAAGGCATGATGACCTGTTTATAAAAAAATAGGCCCTTTAGTTTGATCCAGGGACAGTCCTACAAGTTTGTGGTTAAGTCAAACCAAGAGTTGATTTTACTTGACTAGGAGTTAATTTGAGTGTGGTGACTCACATGGTTAGGACACTAGGTGGACAATCAGCAAGCCTGTGTTTGAGCCCCCAGTGATGTTGCATGGCGGGGTGAGCTCCCATCATCCGCTCCAGCTCCTGCCAACCTAGCAACTTGAAAGTGTGTAGTGATAAGATAGGTACTACTTTGGTAGGCACATTAATGGGGACATGAAAGCAGCCCCCCAACTGGCCATCTCCAGGCAATGGTGATATCATCAGCTAATCCTTTCACTCTGGAAGCGCTTTAGGTGCTTCCAACACAAATGTGAGCAAGTTACTGTTTGTTGCTCTGTGTATATGCTGGGTCACAGTATTTCTGTACAATGAGCCAAAAATCTGTTGTTGGACTTTAGGATCAACTAAAGTCCAAATGCATATTTTTCCAAATTCTCTAAGATTGAAGGAAAAGCCATCATCTTTCTGAGCATTGATAGGTATCTAGCTGTCTATTTTTAACTCTAGGGCGAAGAAGCAAGTCTTTGGCCAAATATAGCTCAGCAGTATCTGCAGGGACAAAAATCTTTTTTGCATTAAATAGACTTTTGAGTTGAGATTAAATCAGACTCCAAAAAAGCTTTATGGCACCGAGGCTCTTCATGACACCATGATCACATGAAAACAACACAGCATCTTATGACACTTTAAGGACAAATTGTGGCATAAGCTTTCAAAGGCTATTTCAGTATACAAATAGCTTCAGAGTTGAACAGGGCAAGTTGTGCTATATCACTGGCATCATATATGGGAAAGAAAGTATCGACCAACATGGACAAGAGAATGACATTGTTGTGAAAGCTATATTCTCCAGCTTTTTATATTTCCCTCTCTGTCCCCACTACCAAAGAAACCAATCCCAAGTCTGATGACTTCTTTTCTTGAAATCTGAAGAAACGTGCCACTATGGATAGTAAAATAAGTTATGGGATGACAATGTCTGTACATTCAATAATAATAAAGTTTTCATCCCTCATCTAAAAACCAGGCCCTCACCCTTCTCATGTTTTAAATATGAATATACCACCCAAATATTTTCTTTAAGTAAACATCAGGATCTTTGAATTGTGTTGTACATGTAGCAATAAGCTAAACACTTTGAACGGCACATTCTCTTTACTTATTCATGTAGACCCATTGAGAATTTGAACCAGTCACTCACAAGGTCATTTTGGGGTTGCCAAGACACAGGTGACAGCAGCTCAGTACAGTGGCTGCCATACGTCCTTACTGCTTTTCAGGGTGTGGCTGAAGAAGAGAGTCTTGGAACCATTCACCTACCGAGAACGTTCCCCAAGAGAAAAACATAACATCAGGAACAATGAATTATTTCCCCACCTTGGTTTCCAGCTAAGAAAGAGCCTTTACCAAAGAAAGGGTACAAAGTAGACATTTGGGAACTTGGCTCCCCTCCATGGTCATCTTTGTGCAGATGACTTCACTCATCCCAGCTGTCCAAACTTGATCAGGGTCTTGATTTGAAATGAGTCATGTCAGCATTCTTCTTAACACTCTATAGATTAGAACTACCTATTGGTTGATATTTCTGTCTAACAATGGTCGGTAATGTTAGTAGGTTTTTTAAAATTCTTATTTATTCCAGACATCCACAAATATCCCATCACCAATACAAACAAAAACAGCATTTTTTTTCTTTCCTTGTAGGAAGTAAAATCCTTTCCTACAAGGTTTAGGACTTTTTTTTGTGCAGACAGAAGCAATTTGAACCTTGGATCATCCAGAAAGAAGAGCCGGGGAGAATTTTCAGGAACCATCCATGATGCTTTTACAAAACAGTGACCTGAACAATTCTTTAGCTGCTCTGCAGGGCTAGTGAAGAAACCGAAGAGGCACACACAAAATCATTTGGATCTCTTCCTCCTTTGCTTCTTCCCATCTCTGATTTGTTGTTTTTCTCCTGTTTCTTCTGTGTTAATTAAATGCTTAGAACTTAAGTTGCTGTGCAAAACCCTTCTGTTCCAGAGAGGTTTCCGAAGAAATGTACAACTAATGTTGGAAGAAACTAGCAAAGTAATTGGCCTCCAACAGCTTCCAAGGGTGGATTTGTAAGATAACAAACACAAAAGTTGTTTTTTGTTTTGTTTTTTTCTGGGGCGCCTTGGCCAGGTTCGGGTGGAGAGGCAATCCCATTGCTATTTCCGGATAATGAAAAACAATGAGTCTCTTTGAATGTCTATGTGCAGTAGAAAACTGGGGGCACTGGAAAGGATGGCAAATATTTCCCCATTAAATTCAGCACTTTAAATTGAATTGTTTTAAGGCAATGCTTGACAATGGAAATGTTTGGTTGGGGTGATATGGGAAAGAATGCAAAAGGCTTAAAATCTATGGATTGACACAATTGCTGATGCCAACATATTCCAAAATATTATTCCATTGTCTGTGCCCATTCTTTGATTTTTTTTTTTTAACTGTGCCTTTTCTTCATCTATATTACTCATTTTGATTCTTTGTGGACCATCTCTGTGCCTTCCCGTCTGCAGGAAAGAAGGTCGAAACACTGCAGCGGCACATTAAAACTAATAATGGGTTGAATAATGAGGAATTAAAAATTTGTCTAGCTAATGGCAGGACTCAATGAAGGTGATCAGGCTGATAGATGTTGGAAGAATGGATGGGGAACTGAAGAGGAACAATTTGGATTTAAAAAAATAAGCTCATCAGATAATTACATTGATAAATTGATTAATATGGCAAAGAAATGACTGGGAAGGCAGATGGATGGATAATTGGATGGATGAATGGATGAATGGGCAAAACGATGGTCCGATGAGGCTGATAAATGGGATGTGCTTGACTTGCCATTCCATCATTCCAGATTCAGGTTTTTTTAGTAGTGAAGAGGAGAGGGGAGCTTCCAACACTCCCAGCAGTTGACTAACTCATAGTCTGCTTCTTAAAGTGCAACATGGTCCACCACCACCACTTCCATCCCTCATGTAACCCACATCCTGGGGAGGCTTGCAAAGACTGCAACGGTAGCAAAGGTCTTCAGAACACCCAACCAAAGGGGAGGCGAGAATCCAGAACGTGAGTGGACGCTTTGAAGCATGAACAGATATATACAGCGTTATCATTAAAAAGGGGGGCAGTCCCGTTGGTCAAGGAGATACGGAAGGAAGAGGATGTGTTGTTGACTTGCTTGATGGACAGGATCTCTTGGACCAAGGCATCTCTTCTTCCAGGGATATTTGGGCAGGCTTGGTGCAGAAGCATTTGGTCGTAGAAAGGAGAAGTTGTGATTTTTTTCTCCCCCACAGGGCGTTTAGGGAGGATGGAATGGTTGAGGAAGGACGCAAAAACTAATTTGGCTTTGGGAAATGTTTGTGATGAACTTGATCCCAAAAGGGCGGTTGGCCTGGAATCAGGATGCCCCTCCCTCCCATGGTCCTCCCCAGCAATAAAATCAAGCTGTAGACCGGTTTCCTTTCTCCGGTTCCCCCAGCAGTGTGGATGGTTAAGAGTCTGTGGTGTGGGAGAAACCAGGCAGCATTTGCAAGGATCCTCACTTCTTTTTTTTTTAATCAAAACTTGAGCAGGAAATAAGCAAAGAGAGTGCCCGATAGCCAGATGCAGGCCATCGCTCTGGAAGCTGCATTGTTGCCATCGTGTACTGCTCCTGGGCCTGGATCGAATGACAGAAACAACAAAAAAGAAGGAAAGAAAGACATTGGTCATTAGCAAAATGAGATTCTCTCCCCCCCACACACAAATATCAAGGAGAATTCTGAGAAACACTTGAGAGCATAAGCTAAATTAGAGAGAGGCAGTAAATGTTCCAGAGAGGCATGGGAAGAAGTCTCATGGCAGAAGGCCGAGCAAAAGTTTTGATGGCCAAATATGGTCTTTGAAGGTCTTGGGTAGGGGTAGTCAACCTTGGCTCTTTTATGACTCATGGACTTCAACTCCCAGAATTCCTGTGCTGTGCTGGCTCAGGAATTCTGGGAGTTGAAGTCCACGAGTCATAAAAGAGCCAAGGTTGACTACCCTTGGTCTTGGGTATAATTGTTAGACTTGTCCCAAGGTCATTACTTAACTACAATTCAGTGAAAAGAATTAGGTATACAATTGGAGAATCTATATATTGTCTAGGCTTTACTTCAATATAGATCCTGGTGAAATAACACTTTAGTTTTCACTTACTCTCCCCATTGATTTTTAGAATATAAACCAGGGGTGTCCAACTTGGCAACTATAAAACTTATGGACTTCAATGCCCAGAATTCTACAGCCAACCAATTCCCCAGCATGGCAGGCTGGGAAATTCTGGAAGTTGAAGTACACAAGTCTTAAAGTTGCCAAGGTTGGATACTCCTAGTATAGACCCAGGTCTAGAAAGGCCAAATTTAGCTTTTGGCCCAGAAATAACTCATGTATTCCTGTCTTAAAGGGAAACCTAACATCTTCTTTAAATTACCCTGCTTCCTTGAGAGTGTTAGGGCTGCTCTCATGCTTGGTCTGTGACACAATCATCGAGAGGAAGAAGAAGAAAAATGTCCTATGTCCAACATATATTATGGCTCACATGCTCGGAAAAAAACAGGTGAATGTGGATGGAAATAATAAAAGAGGTTAAGGAAGTCCTTAGAGAAAGAAAATCAGTGCTCAGAAAACCATATTCCTTGAGAATGGTCCATGGATGCTAATCACCAGGACAAAGGACTTACACAAGGATAAAAACCAAAGCAAACAGAATCTTATAGAAGGGAAATAACATCACATCATTAGTCATTTGCAAAAGGGGACGCGGAAAGGATAAGCACTGATATTTCATTAAAGTATTGCAATGCAAATTTCATGCAACATTGTGACATAAGTGTTAAAAGGCAGAGATGTCTTGAAGCACCTTTCATTATTTTGTTGACATAATGGTTAGGAGTGGATGTTATGTTAAGTATGAAGTCAGTAAGAAGTTGTTCCCTACCCCTGCAAAAACATGTATTGTTTATACAGAGTAACTGTGTAAGGGGAAAGATCCAGAGTGTCTTATGGAATATCACACAGGTTGAAAAGGACCATGTCCTCTGAGCAGAAACTGGCCATAGTTTCCCTTGGGGACACTCCCAGTTTGGGGGTGTGGAAAGTAAAAGGATGGGACAGGGAAGAGATGGAGTAATAATCCCATGTATTAATCAAAACAAAATTCTTGGCAATTCACAAGTATCTTGTCCAAGCTTTCATTTACTATCCTCTTTTCTTTGGTCAAACTTAGTCACCTTCCTAAGAAGTAGTGTAGGAATATCTTGCCTTAAAGATTTCTCTAGCTTTTTTTTCCTCTGGGAAATATTATATTGCTTTGGTAGAAATTTCTCAATTCATAGCAATTGAATAGACTCAATGGTACTTTATTTTTTCCTGAAGACAAAATTTCATCTGTCATTTGAGACCATTGTTTTACCTTCCCCAACTTGGATGCCTTCCAGATATATGGATCTTCTCCCCCAAATTCTCAGCAACCATTCTCCTGGCTAGAATCCCTAGATGTACACCCAATCTGGAGTACATCCACATAAGGCAGGTGGCACAATTCATAATATTATGCAAATGAGCCATAGTCTGTAAGATTCTCCTTTTCCCTTTTTTCCTCCACTCTGCTGAAAAAGAGGTAGGGAACATTTTGGTTTACAATCCCAAAAGTTCCAATTCTGTAGTTTTCTGAAATTATAGAGGCTCTCTCTCTCTCAGACCCACAAAAATGCACAACCAATTTGGTCATTGAATACTATGCCAGAATTTGAATCCCCCAAAGTGGTTGGGACGAAGGAAAAGTAGTGGTGTCAGTCACAACATAAGCTAATTTGATTACATTTTAAGTTACATTTAATTAGATGCTTAAAATGATTGTTGATGAGATTCGCAAGAGTGTACCAGTGAGCAAACCATGGGCAGGAACCACTGGTTGTGCATCTCCTAGTGTACTCAAATACTGCAGGCAGGGGTTATACTGGCTCATAATCCAGCTGTGTTTTCACAAACCATATTTTAAATTAATTTGAATTCTCAGTTCTCTTGTCATATAAAGTCCCTGTCTGCACGAACATGCAGATGTGTTCCTTCTTGGTGCCTATAACAGAGAATGGTAGGGACAGCTGAGAAGATCATAGGAAGCTCGCTTCCTGGTATTCAGGATGCTGCTTATACGCGCTTTTATGTGCTTAGAGCTCAAAGCATTACTAGAGACCCCACACACCCACTTTGTGGTCTGTTTCTGCTGCTCCCCTCTGGGAGGAGGTTTCAAAGTATTTCTATCATGACCACCTGATTCTGTAATAACTTTGTTCCCTATGCCATCCGTCTGGTAAAATCGCAAGATTCATTTTTCTCGCCATGCACGTAACCCTAACTAGACTATTGTTTTTTGTATCATATTATATATGTAGGTATATGCATAACTCTGTATTTATTTATTTATTTTTGTCATACTTATGTCCTGTATATCGGAGGTGGTGACCCTTTGAGAGCTGTGTGCAATGAAATTTCTGTCCATGATGCTAACATTGGATGTTTTTGCTTTGACAACAGTTGGAGATGCAACCATTTTCTTATCATGTTTTACTTTTAGAATTAGAGTTAGATGTTGCTGGGGGGAGGAATGTGCACAAGAGTTTAGCTAGACATAACAATACTGGACCTGGTGTGTGAACCAAGGTTATTGAAATAAGAGATGATAAGAATTGTCGGCTGGAGAACTGGAGGGAAAGCCTGCATTTCAAACTAATTGGAGAAGGTGATTTATGACCGTTAATTGGAGGAGGGAATTGTGCTCAGGGGAGGGGAATCTAGTTTTTGGCTTCGATTGTGTTAGTGCCCATGTTATGCTTCTCTAATAAAGATTCTTTAAGGTAAACAATGCCTTGAAATCCTTTGAAGAGTTTCATCTATCGGAACCATGACAATTTCATTTTAATGTATGCCGATTAGTGTACATTCAAAGTGGCAATAAAGTTGTTACTCTGTTCTAACAGTTGGGAGACGACTTGCAAAAGAGAGTCTCATTGCTAGGCATAAGACACAATGCTCAATCCTATGAGCAAAAGTGCTAGACATTGATTTAATTAAAAATGCAAACATGTTTATTAATATCCTGGTCCTCTCCCTAAAGCATTTGATATAAACCAACGGGTGAATCTACTGTGTGCATCGGAAAGCAACCCATCCCAACTGTAACAGCTGCAGCACCAACAGCCCTAACTATCATAACGATATATCAGCAGCAACACATTAAAGCATCAAAAACCTGTGTAAAAAAAAAAAACTTTGTCTGGAGACAAGGAATGATGGATCTCCCCAAAGAAGATGTGGTTTCCACCACTGAAAACATCCCCCTAATTTAAAATGATGGTTAAAAATCCCTGAAACTCTGCAGCTGCTCTTAAGGTCGTGGCTAGTCTATATGAGGAAAGACATTTCCTTGGTTTTATGTCTCTTCAACTCCCCCATCCCAAAGTCCATCAAATGGCACAGTATAGAGAAGAAAATAAGACAAAAAGCACATTTCTTTCCCTATCTCTTAAGGATGCTTTTAAAAGTTTAGCAGAGAACTGAAACATTCCATGCAGGTTCTCAGCTGAATTCAGCTGCAAAGCCCCACGGCTATTTCCCCTTTCTCCCCAGATCCCACTGCAACTGTTAGCAACCAAAGAGGCTGTTTGATTCATTAATCTACAATTTTATAGCAACGCTGATTGACTGGAATCCTAGAATAGAACACATCTGTGCCGCCGCCTCCCATCTGGAAACCTTTATGCACTAACTGCTCTTAAATGTTTTATATCCTTGTCGTTTTTTGCTCCATGGTGAGGGCAATTGCTCACCTCCCTTCCGCCGTCTTTTCCTCTCGTTCCAATATATGAAAACGGCTGCTTTCAGATGTGGCTTAACAAGCTGAGGGGCGCCAGTCTAGTGAAAAATTAATAAGGACCACTGCACATGGGTAGACTTCCCCCCAAAAAAACCCACTAAAAAAAACCCCAGAAATAGAAAGGAAACCTGGATAATTGCACTGCTATTCTTCCTTAATAATGGTTGATGGTGGCAGTAACGCTGCCTGAAGTAGTTCTATGTCTTTCCTGGAAGAAAGAATTTCCAATATGCAAGTTATGAAGAACTAACAATGGTGGCAAAAATAGTTGTAAAATGTAGAAAAACTTGCTTAACAAATGTCTTACTTAGCAACGTAAATTTTGGACTCCATTGTGGTTATAAGTGGAGGACCACCTGTATCTAGTTTTGGCCTGACTTCTCTCAAAAGATTTTATCCTTTAAGTAATAACTGATCTTTCTGCAGAAATAACTTGTTGGCATGCTCCATTGGTCTAGTTGCCTCTTACTCCTCTGTAAGGCAGCCCCTCCTTCCTGGAAATACTCCTCTTTACTGCCTCCATTCACAAAAATGTGCAACCTAAAACTACATTGGTCTTTTTTTATTGCCACACATCAAACAGCCAGCTCCAAATCAGTTTGCAATCACTCGTTGTCATGAGTATTATCGTCAAGTCAGGCGCCCCGATTCTACACCTGTGCATTTGATTTCTGTTTCACTTCTGTTTCCTAAGAGAATAACTTTTCATTTCTCTATTAAATGTCACCTGGTTATTTTCATCTCATTTCTCTAAGCTATTAGGG